AGGAGGAAATCGGCCGCCAGCACCGCCAGGATCAGCAGCCGGAACTGGGGAAAAAGGGAATTCCAGAATGTTCCCCACGGAAATCGGCCCCAAATCCCCCAATTCCCATCCCCAAATCCCTGGGATTTCACCCCAATCCCACCCTGGATCTCGCCAGGATCAGCAGGTGGAACTGGGGAAAGAGGGAATTCCGGAATGTTCCCCACGGGAATCAGCCCCAAATCCCCCAATTCCCATCCCCAAATCCCCAGATCCCCAAATCCCTGGGATTTCACCCCAATCCCACCCTGGATCTCGCCAGGATCAGCAGCCGGAACTGGGGAAAGAGGGAATTCCGGAATGTTCCCCACGGGAATCGGCCCCAAATCCCTCAATTCTCATCCCCAAATCCCCAGATCCCCGAATCCCTGGGATTTCACCCCAATCCCACCCGGAATGAGGGAATTCCGGAATGTTCTGGGTGGAATTCTGGAATGTTCTGGGTGGGACTCAGCCCCAAATCCCCGGGAATTCTGGAATGTTCCATGGGAATGGGGCGTGGATCCCATCCCAGCTGGAATTCTGGAACGTTCCTGGCAGGAATGGCGGGAATTCACCTCCAGAATCCTGGGAATTGCCCTGGAATGGCCCCAGGATGGCCCTGGAATGGCTCCAATCCCCCCCAGAATCCCGGGAATTCCCCCTGGAATGGGCTCCAATCCCCCTCAGAATCCTGGGAATGGCCCAAATCCTCCCCAAAATCCCAGGAATTCCCCCCAGGAATGGCTTCAATCCCCCCAAAAATCCTGGGAATGACCCCCAGAATCCCAGGAATGACCCCAATCCCTCCCAGAATTCCCAGGAATTCCCGGAATTCGCTCACCTCGGTTGGGATGTGCACCAGACCGAAGGCCACCCCCAGCTCGGGGCAGGCTCCGCTGAGCAGCCCCAGCACGGCCCCGGCCGAGAGCAGCAGAGCCCAGAGCAGCGCCCGGTTCTGGGCCAGGCTCTCCATGAACGGCCGGCCCTGCACCAGAACAAACTGGGTTA